CACACACACACACACACACACACACACACACACACACACACACACGTGCACTCATAAACACATGCACGTATGACCAGCAAAGTACTCCGATGTGCACCCATGAATAAGATAGTATATTATTACTGTACTACATACAAAAACATGAATGTCAAACAACAAACTAGTCTTGAGCAGAATTTCAATCAACGCAACCATTACGAGAACAAAACAGGATTAGAAAATAAGAAAATGTACCCAAGAGACTGGGATGCTGGAATGCTTCTGGCGAATCCAAAACGGCGTCGATTTCCGAGAGTTACCCCTTGCCAATAGATACGCTAGATTAGATTCAAACGCAGTACAGACACATTCACGCCCACGAACTTTCAGCTCCCCTCACCGACCGTCGCCCCCTTATCGCCCTCAAATATTCCTCCTCAACTTTTCAGCATCTTCCAAGAGCTGTCCCAAAGACAGTTTTTTTAGTTAGAGTTTTACAGCACTTGCAACACAGTTAGGCCATATAAGTGCCGGAGATTAGAAGTGTTACATGAGAGTAACAAACACGAAAACGAGAGATACGTACAATCAATGTTTGATAGGAAAGAAAGAGCAAACCACACGTCCCAGAAGTAACAGGAAAATGGCTATAATTAAATTGTTTTGTAGACGACCTGGCAAAGAATGAACAACAAGACTCAATGACAGGAGCATATGAACCAACTAAACGCGAGCTGCGAGAAATACGACATGAAGATCAGTGTTAGAAAGACCGAAGGAGACTTGACAAAGTGGATATCAACATCAATGAATCCCAACTAAAACAAAGCAGCGAATTCAAATACTTGGGTAGCATTTTCACAGAAAAGGGAAAATGAGATCGAGAAATAGAGACTAGATGCCAGAAAGCCAATGCAGTCAGCTATCAACTCGCCCCTCTCATGAAACATCTCGATATCGCCATGAGCACCAAGGCGAAGCTCATCAACGCCATTTTCTTACCAACACTCACATATCAGTGTCAGACATGGTCCCTAACAAAAGCCCTAGAGAAGAACCTGGTCAAATGCGAGTAGACATGTTTGAGAAGAGCGGCTAGCAAGACAAGAAGAGACAAAATAAAAAAAATGAAATCGTAAGGGACACAGTAGGAGCAACACTAGTCTTACCACATACTGAAAAACAAAAAAATCAAGTGATTCAGACACCTCACACGGATGCCCCCAAACCAACCAGCTCTGAGGGCATATAACATAAATTAATTCTGGCTGGAGATCCAGAGGAAGACCAAGGCGACGCTGGAGTGAAGCCGTAGCAGACATCCTCAGAGCTCACGGGATGTTCCTCCTTCATGCCACTCGCCTTGCTTCAGACAGACGCCTGTGTCCCCCCGAGACACCCATCGGTACAAGCGGAAGAAAAAAGTAAAGTAAGTTATGATTGAGATACAAGTTACACAGTAAATTGGCTAAATATTCATTTTTTTCCCTCAACGATTTCCCCATCACGTATTTTCCTATCGCTGCAGAAATAAATTACTGCATGCCATCTATGTTCATGTAGGTCGAGAGAATGAAGCAAGTCTCTGACGTGCTCCTCAAGGTTTGTGTCATTAGATATTTCCTCTCCAGCTACAGATATCGCTGCTGTGGTCCAAACAGATGGAAGTGGGCCTGTTGGAAGTCGGAAGGGGCAAGATCAGGACTTTTATCCAAAAAGCTTTCTTTAGGCTCTTTGAAGTCACCAGGAGGCCCAGTTCCCATTTTGTCACGTGTATTTTTCCTTCATTGTTCTAACAATGATATGCAAACATCTAAGTTCCGTCGTGCCTTGTGGCCATCTGTCAACTGCATTAGAGCTCACCGAGCTGACACGTTTGTGTATCCCAACCCAATAATAAAAACATAAACTGTGAACTATCGACTTAGAAAAGTCTGGGGCATCGCAATGTCACAACAGATGAGTTTTTCAGTGTGTTCAGCTGTTTTGTTTTCTGTGTACGCAAACAAATGACAGCCCATCGTGTAAATTTGTATGATATAATTTGAGATAAATTGCACCAAAAGTAGACTTTTGACTAGCTTAAAAAATTGCCATTCTTTTCAATCTACTACCACCCCCTCTCTCACTGTATATACATATATGTGAGGCATGCTGACAAAATGAGTTACTTCTCGTAGTCTAAGAAGGGAGATATCGGCGAAAATCGACACTAGGGTCAGATTAATAGATTTTCAGTTGACGCCATTTTCTTCAAGTCTACTGTGTCTTTTAGTATTACATGCTTACAAACTGTACAAACTTCACCTATAAAGTTGATGGATCAATTTCCATTGGGCTGAAATCCGAGAAGTAACTCATTTTGTCAGCCCACCTCACATATATATATTATTATATAAGTGGACTTGAGAGGCTTTGTGCACAAGCTCCTCCCTTATTACCTAACCCACACTTTTGAAACTATGCAGACGTCCACAGTAGCCTTGTGGCTAGGACCTAACTTTAAAAAACCCACGCAAACTGCTTTCCCCGATTTTCCTAAAATGCTTTATTTCGTCTACGGGCCGCACAAAGTTCTATTCTTGGGAAAGTCCGTCTTCTAAGACGCCAATGTAAACAAGTGAGTTCACTAGCAGTGCGCACTGTTTCCACACTTTTGAAATTCTGGAGTGTACAACCACAAAAGCGTAATAGAGAATCAATCTGCACATCTATTATATATTTGGCAACCTGGAAACACGTGTGTCACTTTTCTCTTAAGATTTATTGCTCCATTCCAGTAGAGTGCAAATGTAGTAGGCTAGTGACTTTCAGTTGGAGTTAATGCACCGATCATTCCTTTCATCGAAATGGGGCCCAGCTAGTATAATAAGTCACACACACAAATATACACACGTATTTTCTCTCTCTTTCTCTCTCTCTCTCTCTCTCTCTCTCTCTCTCTCTCTCTCTCTCTCTCTCTCTCTCTCTCTCTCTCTCTCTCTCTCTCTCTCTCTCTCTCTCTCTCTCTCTCTCTCTCTCTGTGTCTGTCTCCCTCCCTCCGTCTCTTTGTGTCTCCTACAATTTCCACAAATAACTCTATCAACAATATGGCAGCTCTATTTCATCTTATTGCTTATAAACCAAAGTAAATGAAATTGGGGAGAACAAAGCATACCAATATACAACAGCAACCACAGATTGGAGAGTCTGCACATAAAATAGTTTATTAAAGTATTACCAGGTACAAATGTATAGGCTGACACTTAAATCACAAAATGAATGGGTCGAAGAAATCAATTCTGTATTGTCTCCTCCTCTCCTTCCCTCTTTTGTCTGGTCAAACACCGTAATAATACAATACACACATGTGACATAGTATAGGAATCTAACATATATACAAAGTTATCATCAATGACACGAGTAATATTTATATCACAAGTTATATTTAAATAGGAAACAAAATAACACATAGGTGCAAAAGTGAAAAATGAATGTCATAAATCTAAGCCAGAAGACAAGGCTGCCCAGACACAAAAGCACACTAAGCAAAAGAAAGCACACTTTAATCAATCATAATATCAAAATATATTTCCATCGCACCTCTTCTCACTCTCCCCCAACCCTTCTGTCTGTCTGTCTGTCTGTCTGTCTGTCTGTCTGTCTGTCTGTCTGTCTGTCTGTCTGTCTGTCTGTCTGTCTGCCTGTCTGCCTGTCTGTCTGTCTGTCTCTCTCTCCCCCCCCTCTCTCTCTCTCTCTCTCTCTCTCTCTCTCTCTCTCTCTCTCTCTCTCTCTCTCTCTATTGTTCTTTGTGCTTCTCTTCCCTGTTCTATCCTCCCTCGCCTCCCTGTGCTCTGTCTCTCTTCATCTCCCTCTCTCTCTCTCTCTCTCTCTCTCTCTCTCTCTCTCTCTCTCTCTCTCTCTCTCTCTCTCTCTCTCTCTCTGTTGTTCTTTGTGCTTCTCTTCCCTGTTCTATCCTCCCTCGCCTCCCTGTGCTCTGTCTCTCTTCATCTCTCTCTCTCTCTCTCTCTCTCTCTCTCTCTCTCTCTCTCTCTCTCGCCCTCCCCTCTCTTTATTTCTCTCTTTCTCTTTATTTCTCTCTTTCTCTTGCTTTCGTTCTCTCCCCATCTCATTCTCTTTTTCCTTTTCTTTCGGTCATTACCGTTCTCTTCCTCGATAATGACATCGTTTTTATCTCTCTCTCACTCTCTCTCTCTCTCTCTATCTCTTTCTCTCTCTATCTCTCCTTCTCTGTTTCCCCCTCTCTCTGTCATCCGTTCTGATTCACCCTCTCTTGTGCTGTATCTCCCACTTCTCGTGCTCCCTTCACCCCCCCCTCTCTCTCTCTCTCTCTCTCTCTCTCTCTCTCTCTTTCTCTCTTCCTCCTCTCCCCCCTCCATCTCTCCCAATCCACGGTCCCACAACGCTTACATCAACACGGATATGAGCCAGACAATTATCACAACACAATAAAACACATTATCTCTCAAATGTTACACAGCCAACTGTATCAATATGTAGAATGGATACAATATCAACGTAGGTTTGTGCCAGTAGCTGTTTCTTTGTCGTCATCGACGTGATGCTATGTTGATTTTTAGAGTAATAATGATATTATTGTCGGTACAAAAGAAATCGATATGTTGGTACGACCCTTAGGGTAAGATTGCCGCCGCCGAAAAAGTGTATGTTTGAAATAATGACTCCCTTAAGTCGTCATAAAAACAAGAGTGCTATAATTGTTACGGTATTTGTTACTATGTTTATTTGCTTTTCATGGTCGGAAACCACGAAAAAGAGCTTATGTTTCTCACCCTTGACTTGAAACCGGGTCTTGTTTTCCTGTCAGGTTGAGAAACTATTGGTTGTTTACAAACATTCTAAACTGTATTTAAACCTAGGAAGAATTCATATTGATATTAGCAACAACAACATAAGTACAATGTTAAATAACGACAAGAAAGTCAGTGGAACGGTAAATCGGACCAGGGTTTTGACGTCATAGATGACAAAGGAATACACCAAACGGGCTCCAGGCCATGGATCACAAAAGTATAACATAATACCCTTAAATATACCATATTTCTGTTGTTGTCAGTGCTGTTTTCGAGATTGTTTTACTGTGTTATAATGAGTAAATGTTGTTTACCCTTGGACAGAGACTAATCAGCTTATCTTTTCCATTCGTTACATTTAATTATGTTATACGACTCGACTCTCTGGTACAGTTGCTATCGTAAGTGAACATGTATTCGGTTTTAAACGTTATTATAATCATGTAACTGTTTCTTTTTTTAAGGAGTTCAATAGTTACTTCTGTTTTTAAGGACAGAAATGATAAAAAAAACACAATGGGATGATAATAATTAGTACTATAATAAATCATTGATGTAGATTAATGTGGCATGTGTCTGCATTGCAAGACAGATTTTATTAACACTCATAAGAAAACCAGTAGTACACGTCTGCATTCCCGTCTACATACACTTTACAATTCTTTAAAGTGCAAATGTGACAGTAATATTATTGTAATTTACGTTGTGTATATATGTCCGTTTTTTTTACATAGATTATTAGTTATGTTCAGATAGTAGTGACAAAACTTACACAAAAAAGTAACAGATGTTGTCATTGGCCATGATAAAAACTGCTTTTTTCGTTTATCAAATTAAATAGGACTAATTGCGCTTAGAACAATCTCTGAACCGACTTTTAGACATACAAAAACAGAGAATACGATATTGCGTCACACTGGCACTCAGTGGCGGTGGGTAGTGAAGGGCTCACGGGCTTGAGTCCCTACCCCCTCCCCAATCACCACCCCAACCCTATCCTAAAGTAAATGAAAGTTTCTCCATAATGAAATTAGCAGTTGAAACCGTTATGACCTTACGGAATGAACACAGAGTGATCAACCTGGCGGCTTGCTCGCTTATCCAATCACTGTTGTCCCCGCTTACAACTACAGTAACCCAGCAGCCAATCAAATGTCTTTAGGGCTCAGCAAAGACGAGCCCTTTTCCCACAGTCCGTCCTTAATGAAACTCTTCTTGTAAAAAGGTAGAAGACTGGGAAAAAATAACAATGTACCGCGGGCTCACGCTCTCCTAGCCCTGACAATGGGGTGAAAGTTTACGACACACTTTCCCCCACAGACACAGAACCTATGCGCTCATTGGTTCTTTGTTGGGTGCGTTCAACTTTTCGACTACACGGCCTAATCCAGCTCATAGAAGTATTATGTTTGAAGTGATGTGTGTGCATGTTTGTGTTTGTGCTGCTGAGATTTAACAGTTATAACTTTTTCATCACACGAAAACTAATTAGAGGAAATTTGGAGGTGAATCGGCTTCGTCTCCACCATCAACAAGAGTTTAACTAAAGATAAAGAGATTGAAAACAAAGGCAATTCTTCTCGTTTGAATGGTTCTCAAACTGCCGTGGCTCACCGTGAGTATAGAAAAATCATCACTGTTTAATTCTTATTGCTTGCTATTTGGTGGTAAAAAACTGGAAGAAACCTAAGCCCCACCCAAATTTTGGTCCACCCACCGCCACTGCTGGCACTAGCTTTCTAGACATACTTTTTTCAAAACCAGTATCTCTATAAGGGAGTGACTAGCTTTCCAATGGAACCTTTTCTTTTCCTGGAACTGATCAAAAACACGTCTACTCTTTAACTCTTCAAAGACGTGACAGACACATTTTCAGCCACTTATTGTCCCATGAGCAGCAGACCAAAGGCAATGTTCCGACACATTTTGAATAACCCTACACAAATCAGAACGGCCAATTTGCATATTTTGTAGAACGCATATTGTTGCCGGTCTTTTAAAGTTCCAGGTAAAGAAAACAGAATTGAAAAAAATCTGTAACAATGACGAAATTAGTCTTCTTTTTTAACTCTTAGTATACGCGGGGCGCCAGTTCAGCTGGCTCAAAGCTTCACCCAGTTGTTTAGTCATAATGAAAATCTCTCAAATGTCGGCAAGGTAATCTATCTACAATCAAACTGTATGTCTACTGCTCAGATAATTCATTTCAACTCAGTTTTTGTGTTTATGCGAGTAGGTTAATAGAAGTGATGTTATTAGAAAGTTTGTGACGTTGTAACCTTGGATGACAAAATCTTCTGTGCACAAAGGAGAAACAGTCTTCTGTATACTAACAGTTAAAAAGTGCCCCAAAACAGCACGTCTTTAAGCGTCGCCAAATGACCAGAGTGTGAGTCCTAACTGAGTTAACAGATCAGGCGTGTACACATTTAGAAAAGGTACATAACGATGAATGGAAGCACAAAGGAGACAAAGCTGAAGCAGCTGAGCCCAAGTCTTACAGCTGAACTGTGCAGCTGCTTGTATGCTCTGCTGTAGATGGTCACTGGGCGGAGCATGGAGACCATTTCCAAAGATGTTGGGGGTGTCTTGTCATGTTGTAAAATAATACCACCTGGTGGAGGAAATAAGTATGACCAGGTTAGTTTCAGAATTTTATAAAGGAATGCACGTCGAATGGCTCAGCTGGTAGTGTGCTTAACCTAGGTGACAATTCATGGAGAAATCATATACTTAATTTGCATTACGGAATTTTTAAAATTTATTTTGAAAGGGGCGCTGAGATCACTTTTAATACTTTACTTTTATAAGGCGTACTGTTGTGGCCGTCACCTTTGGCTCTCTTTACAATCTTCGATCCC